TGAACAGGGGTCAGTACAAATGACAGCTAATGAAATAACATATCTTTGTAATCACATCTATCTATCTGTCTATGTAGCGAGCTAGCTCAATCTGTTCATTATCTATCTATCTCAGTCTCTTCACTATCTAGCTATCCACTTCATTTTGTGATCTATCTGTCTATCTATCTATGTATGAGTCTGCTCATGTCTATCTATCTATCTATCTATCTATCTATCTCAGTCTCTTCACTATCTAGCTATCTACTTCATTTTGTGATCTATCTGTCTATCTATCTATGTATGAGTCTGCTCATGTCTATCTATCTATCTATCTATCTATCTATCTATCTATCTATCTATCTATCTCAGTCTCTTCACTATCTAGCTATCTACTTCATTTTGTGATCTATCTGTCTATCTATCTATGTATGAGTCTGCTCATGTCTATCTATCTATCTATCTATCTATCTATCTATCTATCTCAGTCTCTTCACTATCTAGCTATCTACTTCATTTTGTGATCTATCTGTCTATCTATCTATGTATGAGTCTGCTCATGTCTATCTATCTATCTATCTATCTATCTATCTCAGTCTCTTCACTATCTAGCTATCTACTTCATTTTGTGATCTATCTGTCTATCTATCTATGTAAGAGTCTGCTCATGTCTATCTATCTATCTATCTATCTATCTATCTATCTATCTCAGTCTCTTCACTATCTAGCTATCTACTTCATTTGTGATCTATCTGTCTATCTATCTATGTATGAGTCTGCTCATGTCTATCTATCTATCTATCTATCTATCTATCTCCCAGTCTCTTCACTATCTAGCTATCTACTTCATTTTGTGATCTATCTGTCTATCTATCTATGTATGAGTCTGCTCATGTCTATCTATCTATCTATCTATCTATCTATCTATCTATCTCAGTCTCTTCACTATCTAGCTATCTACTTCATTTTTGTGATCTATCTGTCTATCTATCTATGTATGAGTCTGCTCATGTCTATCTATCTATCTATCTATCTATCTATCTATCTCAGTCTCTTCACTATCTAGCTATCTACTTCATTTTGTGATCTATCTGTCTATCTATCTATGTATGAGTCTGCTCATGTCTATCTATCTATCTATCTATCTATCTATCTATCTATCTCAGTCTCTTCACTATCTAGCTATCTACTTCATTTTGTGATCTATCTGTCTATCTATCTATGTATGAGTCTGCTCATGTCTATCTATCTATCTATCTATCTATCTATCTATCTATCTCAGTCTCTTCACTATCTAGCTATCTACTTCATTTTGTGATCTATCTGTCTATCTATCTATGTATGAGTCTGCTCATGTCTATCTATCTATCTATCTATCTATCTATCTATCTATCTATCTATCTCAGTCTCTTCACTATCTAGCTATCTACTTCATTTTGTGATCTATCTGTCTATCTATCTATGTATGAGTCTGCTCATGTCTATCTATCTATCTATCTATCTATCTATCTATCTATCTCAGTCTCTTCACTATCTAGCTATCTACTTCATTTTGTGATCTATCTGTCTATCTATCTATGTATGAGTCTGCTCATGTCTATCTATCTATCTATCTATCTATCTATCTATCTCAGTCTCTTCACTATCTAGCTATCTACTTCATTTTGTGATCTATCTGTCTATCTATCTATATATGAGTCTGCTCATGTCTATCTATCTATCTATCTATCTATCTATCTATCTATCTATCTCAGTCTCTTCACTATCTAGCTATCTACTTCATTTTGTGATCTATCTGTCTATCTATCTATGTATGAGTCTGCTCATGTCTATCTATCTATCTATCTATCTATCTATCTATCTATCTCAGTCTCTTCACTATCTAGCTATCTACTTCATTTTGTGATCTATCTGTCTATCTATCTATGTATGAGTCTGCTCATGTCTATCTATCTATCTATCTATCTATCTATCTATGTCAGTCTCTTCACTATCTAGCTATCTACTTCATTTTGTGATCTATCTGTCTATCTATCTATGTATGAGTCTGCTCATGTCTATCTATCTATCTATCTATCTATCTATCTATCTATCTCAGTCTCTTCACTATCTAGCTATCTACTTCATTTTGTGATCTATCTGTCTATCTATCTATGTATGAGTCTGCTCATGTCTATCTATCTATCTATCTATCTATCTATCTATCTCAGTCTCTTCACTATCTAGCTATCTACTTCATTTTGTCTATCTGTCTATCTATCTATGTATGAGTCTGCTCATGTCTATCTATCTATCTATCTATCTATCTCAGTCTCTTCACTATCTAGCTATCTACTTCATTTTGTGATCTATCTGTCTATCTATCTATGTATGGGTCTGCTCATGTCTATCTATCTATCTATCTATCTATCTATCTATCTATCTATCTATCTCAGTCTCTTCACTATCTAGCTATCTACTTCATTTTGTGATCTATCTGTCTATCTATCTATGTATGAGTCTGCTCATACTTATCTATCTATCTATCTATCTATCTATCTATCTATCTCAGTCTCTTCACTATCTAGCTATCTACTTCATTTTGTGATCTATCTGTCTATCTATCTATGTATGAGTCTGCTCATATCTATCTATCTATCTATCTATCTATCTATCTATCTCAGTCTCTTCACTATCTAGCTATCTACTTCATTTTGTGATCTATCTGTCTATCTATCTATGTATGAGTCTGCTCATGTCTATCTATCTATCTATCTATCTATCTATCTATCTATCTCAGTCTCTTCACTATCTAGCTATCTACTTCATTTTGTGATCTATCTGTCTATCTATCTATGTATGAGTCTGCTCATACTTATCTATCTATCTATCTATCTATCTATCTATCTATCTATCTCAGTCTCTTCACTATCTAGCTATCTACTTCATTTTGTGATCTATCTGTCTATCTATCTATGTATGAGTCTGCTCATATCTATCTATCTATCTATCTATCTATCTATCTATCTATCTCAGTCTCTTCACTATCTAGCTATCTACTTCATTTTGTGATCTATCTGTCTATCTATCTATGTATGAGTCTGCTCATGTCTATCTATCTATCTATCTATCTATCTATCTATCTATCTATCTATCTATCTATCTCAGTCTCTTCACTATCTAGCTATCTACTTCATTTTGTGATCTATCTGTCTATCTATCTATGTATGAGTCTGCTCATGTCTATCTATCTATCTATCTATCTATCTATCTATCTCAGTCTCTTCACTATCTAGCTATCTACTTCATTTTGTGATCTATCTGTCTATCTATCTATGTATGGTCTGCTCATGTCTATCTATCTATCTATCTATCTATCTATCTCAGTCTCTTCACTATCTAGCTATCTACTTCATTTTGTGATCTATCTGTCTATCTATCTATGTAGGTCTGCTCATGTCTATCTATCTATCTATCTATCTATCTATCTATCTCAGTCTCTTCACTATCTAGCTATCTACTTCATTTTGTGATCTATCTGTCTATCTATCTATATATAGGTCTGCTCATGTCTATCTATCTATCTATCTATCTATCTATCTATCTATCTCAGTCTCTTCACTATCTAGCTATCTACTTCATTTTGTGATCTTATCTATGTATGAGTCTGCTCATGTCTATCTATCTATCTATCTATCTATCTATCTATCTATCTATCTATCTCAGTCTCTTCACTATCTAGCTATCTACTTCATTTTGTGATCTATCTGTCTATCTATCTATGTATGGAGTCTGCTCATGTCTATCTATCTATCTATCTATCTATCTATCTCAGTCTCTTCACTATCTAGCTATCTACTTCATTTTGTGATCTATCTGTCTATCTATCTATGTATGAGTCTGCTCATGTCTATCTATCTATCTATCTATCTATCTATCTATCTATCTATCTCAGTCTCTTCACTATCTAGCTATCTACTTCATTTTGTGATCTATCTGTCTATCTATCTATGTATGAGTCTGCTCATGTCTATCTATCTATCTATCTATCTATCTATCTATCTATCTATCAGTCTCTTCACTATCTAGCTATCTACTTCATTTTGTATCTATCTATCTATGTATGAGTCTGCTCATACTTATCTATCTATATCTATATATATATGTGCCTGCTCATATCTATATATAAGTCTGCTCATATCTATCTATCTATCTATCTATCTATATATATATATATATATATATATATATGTCTGCTCATATCTATATATATATATATATATATACATATATATATATATCTGCTCTTATCTATTTATGAGTCTGCTCATATCTATCTATCTATCTATCTATCTATCTATGTCAGTCTGTTTATTATCTATCTATCTATAAGTCTGCTCATATCTATCTATCTGTCTATCTATCTATCTATGAGTCTGCTCATGTCTATCTATCTATCTATCTATCTATCTATCAGTCTGCTCATATCTATCTATCTATCTATCTATCTATCTATCTATCTATCTATCTATCTATGTCAGTCTGTTTATTATCTATCTATCTATCTATATAAGTCTGCTCATCTATCTATCTATCTATCTATCTATCTATCTATCTATCTATCTATGTCAGTCTGTTTATTATCTATCTATCTATCTATAAGTCTGCTCTATATCTATCTATCTATCTATCTATCTATCTATCTATCTATCTATCTATGTCAGTCTGTTTATTATCTATCTATCTATCTATAAGTCTGCTCATATCTATCTATCTATCTATCTATCTATCTATCTATCTATCTATCTATGTCAGTCTGTTTTTATTATCTATCTATCTATCTATAAGTCTGCTCATATCTATCTATCTATCTATCTATCTATCTATCTATCTATCTATCTATGAGTCTGTTTATTATCTATCTATCTATCTATAAGTCTATCATATCTATCTATCTATCTATCTATCTATCTATCTATCTATCTATCTATGTCAGTCTGTTTATTATCTATCTATCTATCTATAAGTCTGCTCATATCTATCTATCTATCTATCTATCTATCTATCTATCTATCTATCTATGTCAGTCTGTTTATTATCTATCTATCTATCTATAAGTCTGCTCATATCTATCTATCTATCTATCTATCTATCTATCTATCTATCTATCTATGTCAGTCTGTTTATTATCTATCTATCTATCTATAAGTCTGCTCATGTCTATCTATCTATCTATCTATCTATCTATCTATCTATCTATCTGTCAGTCTGTTTATTATCTATCTATCTATCTATAAGTCTGCTCATGTCTATCTATCTATCTATCTATCTATCTATCTATCTATCTATCTATCTATCTCAGTCTATTCACTCTCTTGCTATCTACTTCATTTTGTGATCTATCTGTCTGTCAGAATGTTTGCTTAAGTCAGTTTCTATCTACCTATCTCTTTTCATTATCTATTTAGTTTCCTTAACTGTCTGTCAGTTTATCTATCTATTTACCTATCTCCATCTTTGTATCTGTAGTTATTTCCTACATAATGAATGTAAAACACATATAGCACTATTGCTACATATTCTTCTTATTATTATTATGGCTGTTGTTGTTGCTGTTGTCGTTGTTGTTGTTGTGCATCTAACTGGCAAATCCATAAATCTTAAAGAATAATCCTGCTTGCTGCGTACATTGTGGACTGAAATTATTAGCACAATCTGCTTTCCATTTTTTATTTATTGGAAATAATTACAAAGATAATTAAGTATTAAAGATTTTTGTAAAAAATAAAGACAAAAACCCAACAATCTTTAATATTTTATTTTTGAATTATTGTAAACAAAAGAAAAAATAATTGTTTGCCTAAAATGAATGAGATGAGAAAATTAACAATCAACCGTATAATTCTTTTTATTTTTATTTTTTCTTGAGCAATAAGTTTTTGTAATCTTTTTTAGGTAAACCTCTGCTTAAATTGCCAAAATAAGTTACAGGGTTATTTTGCTGAATTTTTAGTTTTTCTTGCTCTTAAACGTTTTTTCAGTCCATCTCTTAATTTGGATTCAGGACGAAACTCTGTAAAAACCAAAGTAAAACTTGTATATTTTCATACTGAATTAATTCGCAAGCATGTTTTCAATCATTGTCATTAATAAAGTTCCACCCAAGATTCAAATTTCTAAAAGTTGGCGCCTAATCTTCTACATCTTTGAAAATACATGTTGCAAATTAATAATTAATAGTGCAACATCAATATATCAAATGTAAGTTGATTGTTTAAGTAAATAATTCTAAGAAGATACATGCCATCATTCCATGGAGAGGCAATCCCATTGGTAATCAAGCCCTGAACTATTTCATCTTCAATGCGAAACAAAAGGCTCCTAAAATATTCCAAAATAGAACAGCAGGTGGTTGGAAGGTCAGTCAAAACATGTGAAAGACAGAAAGTGCCATAATTCAAAATTTGGGAAGGCAAAAATAAGTAATATATAATGGACTCTCCCATTGGTTTCGATGTATGAGGATCTGACAGCTTAGTTGATTCAGTTATTAAAGTTTGTGTGATAATCTTAAGTGGCATTTAAGACCCACTAATAATTTACAAAGTGAGGCCACATATGGAGCAAGTGTGAGGATTGTGAGATGAGATCACTGTTAGATTGACTGACCTTTTACATCTTGCTCTCGCTTCTTGAAGATGATTCAGACACGCAGATTGAAAATTGCTGAGTCCACTAAAACACATTGATCTCCATTCTACCCACTCCAAGGCTAAGTGCTCAAGGGTGTTATGTGGTATATTGACTGCTGACAAGTTGCATTCCTGTAGCCCAAATATATATAAATATATATATATATATATATATATATATATATATATAAAATATATATATATAAAAAGCTCAATGCATCATTAAAGATTTCGCTACTAGTTTATTTCAGACAGACAACTGCCTCATCATTGCATTAACTGCATGTATTTAATCTTGCTATTAGATTGTCGATAAGTCTCAAAGATTTAGTGTTGAACTCGCTAGAAGCAAGCTTATGTTCTGATCTAATAGTATTTCTTGCAATGTTTGCTTGGGGAACATCCTTCTGATTTTTGATTTCCTGCCACATGCAATCTTGAAAAATTTAAATGCAACACGAATCACCATCTTCTGTCTTCTTTTCACCTCACTAAAGTCTCTTTATTCATTTTCACTCACAGCAAGTTCTTCCATTTTAGTGGCATTATTTCCTTCGTTGGTTGTGAAATGATTTAAAAAAGTACACGTTTATGCATTGTTTATCTATGTTGGTCTATATACCATATCTTCTTGTTCCATTTTGCAGAGATTTGCACCCAAATTATATGCCCTCCATCATGTCTTATTGTAGAGATGTTATCGTTTCCGAAGGATTTCTCTTTAGTATGCCCACAGAGTCCTAGATTTATTATCTGGATAAGTAGACATTTGATAAACAGCTTTATTATTCCTCCAGAGTTCTAGGTTTTTTATATTTGACCATGTCTTTGAGTGAATAAAGTCTGTAGGTATTGATGAAGACCTTCCTTCTTCTTCAAACCTCATGAACTGGAGCTACAGAATCACAAACAAAGAACTGTACCAAACAATAGAAATCATAGCATTTGATGACTTTCAATGGCAGCAACAACTAAAATGGATATCACATGTAACTCAAAGAGAAAATAATGACATAATCAAGATGCCGGCACACTATTTCTAGCAAAAGGTTAGGAGGAAACACCCTTAAGTACTGGAAAGACAGATAACATCAATTGGATAAGTACATGACTGATAATACCATGAATATATTCTCATCAAATATGTCAGGCTTTGCAAAATGTTTGTTTGCAAATGATAAATAGCATTTCAAATCATATGCTTTTTTAATTTAACAAGGTTAGGATATTCATACTATTCTTCATCTTCTTCTTCTTCAACATAATCATCAGCATCTTCATTTTCTTCTTCTTCTTCTTCTTTTTCTTCTTCTTCTTCTTCTTCTTCATCATCATCATCATCACCACCTTCTTTTTCTACTTCTTCATCATCTTTTTCTTCTTCTTTTTTCTTTTTCCTCATCATCTTCTTCTTTTCTACTTCATTCTCATCTTCTTCTTCTTCTTCTTCATCTTCATCATCTTCTTCTTCTCCTTTTCCTTCTTCTTCTTCATCATCTTCTGCTTCTTCTCCTTCTTCTTCTTCATCATCATCTTCTTCATCTTTTTCTTCTTCTTTTTCTCCATCATCATCATCTTTTTTTTCTTCTTCTCTTTCATCATCATCTTCTTTTTCTTATTCTACTTCTTTTTTTCTTCTTCTATTTCTTCTTCTTCTTCTTCTTCTTCTTCTTCTTCTTCTTCTTCTTCTCCATCATCATCTTCGTTTTCTTCTTCTCCTCTTTCAACATCATCTTCTTTTTCTTATTCTTCTTCTTCGTTTTTCTTCTTCTATTTCTTCTTCTTCTTCTTCATCATCATCATCTTCTTCATCTTCTTCTTTTTTCTTTTACTATTTCTTCTTCTTCATCTTCTTCTATTTCTTCTTCTTCTTTTTCTTCTTCTCCATCATCATCTTCTTTTTCTTCTTCTCCTCTTTCATCATCATCTTCTTTTTCTTATTCTTTTTTCTTCTTCTATTTCTTCTTCTTCTTCTCCATCATCTTCTTCTTTTTCTTCTTCTCCTCTTTCATCATCATCTTCTTTTTCTTCTTCTTCTTCTTTTTTTCTTCTTCTATTTCTTCTTCTTCATCATCATCATCATCTTCTTTATTAATGAAATATACAACAATATATTATGATTAAAACACATTTTTTTATTATATCTGATCATTTTCAAATTTGGATTTATTCTATTTTCATTATCATTTTCAATTTTTCATTTATTGATATAAGCAAGACTGAAATCATTTCGTAAGATTAGATTCAAATTCATAGTGATGGGTTAATAATGTTGACTTAAGTTCGGTTACTTCTATGCCACTCTGTATTGACTTACTTTATCTACTTTGCAACAAAAATACTTTCTCAGAAATTTAAGCAGGAGGCATGCATCCTCTATTCTCCCGTGATAATATTTAATAATATGGCGATATCAGAAATAATCTTAAGGTGTGTATGTGAAATAGGCTTTGGAACAAAATTCTGTCAATTTTTTTTAATCATTTTACCCCAGTCAAGGTGACAATGCCACTAGGATGCAGGGTGTTACAGGAAGGGGAAAAGAGAATGAGAAGAATTTAGTGAGAAGGGAACTGACTGAGATAAATAGATAAATAGACAGACAAGAACAGACTGAGATAGATAGATAGATAGATAGATAGATAGATAGATAGATAGATAGACTGAAAGAAAGACCAGGACAGATTGAAATAAAAAGATAGATATATTTATGGACAAGAACTGACTCAGAGATAGATACGGATATATACAGGGTGCGATGAATAAATTGTCATCTAAATTACAAAACAATGAAAATTACACATTTTAACATAATAACATCTACCAAAATTACACAAAAATATCTTGAAATACTAAAGAATAAATTTATTCAAGAAAATTGTCATTGGCTTCAATCAGAGCTTCCAGATGACTTCAGAATCTATATACCTATCTATTTATTTCAGTCTGTCCCGGTCTTTGTTTCAGTCTATCTATCTATCTATCTATCTATCTATCTATCTATCTATCTATCTATTTATTTCAGTCTGTCCCGGTCTTTGTTTCAATCTATCTATGTATCTATCTATCTATCTATCTATCTATCTATTTATTTCAGTCTGTCCCGGTCTTTGTTTCAGTCTATCTATCTATCTATCTATCTATCTATCTATCTATCTATCTATCTATCTATCTATCTATCTATTTCAGTTTGTCCCGGTCTTTGTTTCAATCTATCTATCTATCTATCTATCTATCTATCTATCTATCTATCTATCTATCTATCTCAGTCTGTTTTTGTCTGTCTATTTATCAATTCTTTTTTGTTTTTCTATCTATCTATCTATCTATCTATCTATCTATCTATCTATCTATCTATCTATCTCAGTCTGTTTATATCTATCTATCTATCTATCTCAGTTTGTTCATATCTATCTATCTATCTATCTGTCTGTCTGTCTGTCAGTAGATGTGTGACGTTTGGCAAGCAGTGCAACTATGTCCATGCTTCTGATTTTCTTTCATGCCTTAACTTATTTTTAAACCTGTTTGTGAAATCCTTCCATCTTTAGCAATATTCCAACAACACCAAACCCTGGAATCTTTGCTTTCTGTGTCTCGTCTCCAAGAATGGGGACGTTAACCTTTTCAACCATTCCAAGCTGATCACCTTAAGAATAAAAGCACCTTTTATTGGCATCCATTCTTCTTCCCAACTGCCGCTGTGCTTGTGAAACCCCAAGACTAATCCAAAGAGCCTTCATTTCTGGCAGCACCACCCAGTTACCCACCCATCGGCCAGTTCAGCAAATTCCGACCCTGGACTGCACCCTATCAAAAACCAATGTTCTTCTCTTTTTTTCTATTTTCCAAGAGAAATGGACAGCTGTTATTTTTTGTTTTTGATTTTTTTTTTAGGGGTTGCAGACTGTCAGGGTTTTTTTGGTTTTTTTAATCGTTTTTCTATTTATTTTTTTTTTTATTTTTATTTTTTGGGAGGGGTGGGATTACACACCCTGTCAAATGTGAAAGACAGTAAAAGTGTGGGGATGATGGAAAGTAATATTAGAAGTCGAAGATGATAGGGATTTTTTTTTTTTTTTGTAAGGGGAAAGTTTGTTTTTTTTTTTTTTTTTTGTAAGGGAAAAGATTCGACTGCTTTTGGTTATCTAAGCAAAATCGAATCCCAAGGTTCATCACTTTTGGATAGCATCCATTGCTGTCTGAGAAACATGCGTTTATTTTCGTCTTCAATACCTTAAAGGACAAAAAAAAAAAAGTGTTGGATAGAAAATAAATAAAGGTGTTTAAGGCTGGTTGTCTTATTTTTTTTTTATAATTTTTTTATTTATATTAGCAAAAGTAGAAAAAATGCCAAAAAAAATCATCCCAATCGAAAAGGAAAGAAAACCGTAAAAAAGTATAAATGAATGATTCTTATTCAATAGACCGTACACCATTCAATATAGCCAGGGTGTGTAAGCAGCGACTAGTCGGTAGGGACAATAAAGACAGTAGAATAAAAAATAAAAGCCCATGACATTAAAAGTTGACTAAGAACATCATTGCAAACAAAATATAAAGATGTAAAAAGATTTTTAATTGACAAATGTTATTTCATCGTCGACACACTTCTCCATTTTTCTATGTAGTTATTTTAATCTGTTTAATGTTATTTTGTTTATTTTCTTCTATTTCGACACAACATGTCAGAGTTATTTTCGTTTCTTTCTTTGTTTTTTTCTCTGGGATTTCTTTTGTGTGTATAACTACAGAATATTTTGTGGAGAACCATTTTATGTATTCTCGGAGCTTTTTCTGCAGCCATTGTCAGCGAGCAAAGAAGACAGGTGAATTTGAGGTGGTCATGTTCATACATCAGACAAACAATATAATGAATGAAATTCAGAATTACCAAAGTGCATGGACATCTATATACATTATATATATAAAAACATATATTTGTGGTATTAAATGCGCATCTAAAAGAGAGGTATCATTTGTCGGATCTTGTAGACTGAAACTACTCGGATCTTAATGATCTTAAATAACGTCGTCAGATAGAGACTTTTATATTGACAACATACATAGCAGCAAACAATTTATTTAAATTGTCAGCTGTATACAACCACTTTCTTAGATCACTGGTTAAAAATGGCTTCAAACAAGTGAAGACTTGGCAAAGCCAGTGCAAGGATCTTGTACCCACCACCTGAATCTATACGAGGCCATCGCAATTTTCATCTGGTAGTATTCATATAAAAGGCAAATTTTATTGTAATTTAATTATGTACAATAATGGATCATTTGCAATATAGGTGAATGATTCAACTGGAAAAACTGAAAATAAATATAATGTATCTAAATACAAATTAGAGACATGACCTAAATGTCATTCATCACAGTTGAAGAAGAGACTTGAGATAACAGAAATATGGCACTACAGAAGCATACTGAGAATATCATAGAGAAAGTGATCTTAAGTAACGTCGTCAGATAGAGACTTTTATATTGACAACATACATAGCAGCAAACAATTTATTTAAATTGTCAGCTGTATACAACCACTTTCTTAGATCACTGGTTAAAAATGGCTTCAAACAAGTGAAGACTTGGCAAAGCCAGTGCAAGGATCTTGTACCCACCACCTGAATCTATACGAGGCCATCGCAATTTTCATCTGGTAGTATTCATATAAAAGGCAAATTTTATTGTAATTTAATTATGTACAATAATGGATCATATGCAATATAGGTGAACGATTCAACTGGAAAAACTGAAAATAAATATAATGTATCTAAATACAAATTAGAGACATGACCTAAATGTCATTCGTCACAGTTGAAGAAGAGACTTGAGATAACAGAAATATGGCACTACAGAAGCATACTGAGAATATCATAGAGAAAGTGATCTTAAATAACGTCGTCAGATAGAGACTTTTATATTGACAACATACATAGCAGCAAACAATTTATTTAAATTGTCAGCTGTATACAACCACTTTCTTAGATCACTGGTTAAAAATGGCTTCAAACAAGTGAAGACTTGGCAAAGCCAGTGCAAGGATCTTGTACCCACCACCTGAATCTATACGAGGCCATCATAATTTTCATCTGGTAGTATTCATATAAAAAGGCAAATTTTATTGTAATTTAATTATGTACAATAATGGATCATTTGCAATATAGGTGAATGATTCAACTGGAAAAACTGAAAATAAATATAATGTATCTAAATACAAATTAGAGACATGACCTAAATGTCATTCATCACAGTTGAAGAAGAGACTTGAGATAACAGAAATATGGCACTACAGAAGCATACTGAGAATATCATAGAGAAAGTGATCTTAAATAACGTCGTCAGATAGAGACTTTTATATTGACAACATACATAGCAGCAAACAATTTATTTAAATTGTCAGCTGTATACAACCACTTTCTTAGATCACTGGTTAAAAATGGCTTCAAACAAGTGAAGACTTGGCAAAGCCAGTGCAAGGATCTTGTACCCACCACCTGAATCTATACGAGGCCATCGCAATTTTCATCTGGTAGTATTCATATAAAAGGCAAATTTTATTGTAATTTAATTATGTACAATAATGGATCATTTGCAATATAGGTGAACGATTCAACTGGAAAAACTGAAAATAAATATAATGTATCTAAATACAAATTAGAGACATGACCTAAATGTCATTCATCACAGTTGAAGAAGAGACTGGAGATAACAGAAATATGGCACTACAGAAGCATACTGAGAATATCATGGAGAAAGTGGGTAAGCAGTGTAAAATTTCAGATCATTCCATCTTAAATAAATCAACAATGTTTTGCGTGGATTTTTAACATCAACTTGAGATTTTTCTTGTTAAGAAGTTGAACAGTTTTAACGCATTAAACATTATGGATATAAAATAGTGAATTTTATATTGTGTTTCTTCAAGACTTAACATGAGTAAAAGAAATTCACGGAATTGGACAAGAATAAAACAGAATAACATCAAAATTCTCGAATATTTTTCATCCTTTAATAGTCAGTTGTACTTAGTATAATTTGTAACCAATCTAAATGTAGGTAAAAAAAAAATCAAATGCTGATAAGACAGTGAGGGTCACAAAGCACTGCTGGGGGCCTAATCAAACTGACCCCCACAGTTTTGGGGATAGTACAAACCTGACAGCCTGTTGGTCTTTGGTAAAAACCACACTTCTTTGAACTTTGTGGGTTGGTACTAAAGAATAATGAAACAAGAAATTTAACAAATAATGGACTTTCAGCAACAGCAACAACAAAAAAGGATAGAAAAAAAAATGATGCAAATGTTGACATTCCACATGACTTCAAACAAATGGTTAGGAAGGAAACTCCCATAAGTATTGGAAAGACTGATAACAGTTACTGGATAAGTAAACATTTGATAAACAGCTTTATAATGCCTCCAGAGTTCTAGTTTTATTATATTTGACCATGTCTTTGAGTGAATAAAGTCTGTGGGTATTGATGAAGACCTTTCCTTCTTCTTCAAACTCTGTGAACTGGAGCTACAGAATCACAAACAAAGAACTGTACCAAAAAACAGAAATCACATCACTTTAGGATTACCAACAGCAGCAACAACTAAAATGGATATCACATGTAACTCGAAGGAAAAATAAAGACATAATCAAGATGCTGACACACTACTTCAAGGAAGGAAACGCCCTTAAGTACTGGAAAGACAGATAACATCTATTGGATAAGTACATGACTGATAATACCATGAATATATTCTCATCAAATATGTCAGGCTTAGCAAAATGTCCATTTGCAAATGATAAATAGCATTTCAAAGAACATGATTTTTTAATTTAACAAAGTTAAGATATTCATACTATTCTTCATCATCATCATCATCCTCATCTTCTTTTTCTTCATCATCTTCTTCCCTTTCTTCTTCTTCTTTTTCTTCTTCTTTTGTTGTTCTTTTTCTTCTTCTTCATCATCATCATCATCATCTTCTTTTTCTTCATCATCTTCTTCTTTTTCTTATCCTTCTTTTTCTTCTTCTTTCTCTTCTTCTTTTTCTTTTTCTTCTTCATCATCATCATCATCTTCTTCTTCTTTTTCTTATCCTTTTTCTTCTTCTTCTTTCTCTTCTTTTTCTTTTTCTTCTTCATCATCATCATCTTCTTTTTTCTTATCCTTCTTTTTCTTCTTCTTCTTTCTCTTTTTATTTTTATTTTTCTTCTTCATCATCTTCTTTTTCTTATCCTTCTTTTTCTTCTTCTTTCTCTTCTTCTTTTTTTCTTCTTCTTTTTCTTTTTCATTATCTTCTTCTTCTTCTTCTTCTTCTTCATCTATGTGCTGTGTCCCTTCAGGAAGT